AAGATGTGGTGTTTCCAGTGAGCAGTTTGGAAAATTCCTGACTGGAATCCCACTGTTCCCCCTGAAACTTCACTGCTATCCTTGTTTCAGAAACCATGGCTAAGGTGACTGCAGATCCTAAAACGTCAATATTTCTTTACTCTGAGAGCTATCACTCTCAAACAAATACTCACATCTCTGTAAGAACCACCCTTTCAACAGACCTTTTACAAGAGTGATATTAACAAGTATATATTTTTTCATAACGGAAACATGAAACCTTGGTTTACTGACCCTTTATAGCTGATGGAATGACCTCAGCACCCTTTGCATCCTATAAGGCATGGGTGGGACTTGCACACAGGCCATAACTGGCCTAGCACGAGTCCACGTGACGTCAGGTGTGGGGCAGCTCGAGACATGGCTGGGCTGGCTGCATGACTGAGTTCCTCGAGGGAAATTCAATCACACAGCCAATCCACAAAGAAAGTAAGGTTTAAGACCAAGCCCATCATGTGATGGGCACCAACTTCAAGCCTTCTGAGTGGCCAGCATGGTCAAGATTAGAACATACATTCCTTTTTCTATAGTAAAAAGAGAACCAAAGCTGTCTCAGTGCCAAAACCAAAATAACTGAAACAAGAACTGTGAAATAATGATGTCATCGTATGATGAGCTGAGCAGCATCGGATGTAATCCAATGCGGCACTAAGTTTCTTGTTCTATCAGTGAAAAGATTTCTGTTTCCACAGTGGAACATTATCACCCTTTCCTTCCCTACCCAAGCTCCCCCTAAATCTCTTCTAGGGATTGCACTAACCCTCTGGAGCAGATCTTGGGAGGCCACAGGGCACACACAGGAGAAGCAGAGGGGTGTTCCACTGCGCAAGTGGAAATCCTTGCCCTGTTGGGACAAGATGAATCCTACCCATTGTTTATAATACTGTACAGCCATGAAACAAATCAGTTTATAGGTCAGAACTGGTTGATGAATAGGTGTATTTTTAATATGCTATTTTTACTTCTTGAAATACTCGGAAATTTATCTTTCTAATAGAATATTCTACCAGCTGACGAAGACTTCTACAGCCCTCCAGTTTCAGGCTATGGCCACAGCTTATCTGAAAGGGAAATACGTAAATAGATGCATGTGTGGTTCCCAGAAGGCATTGTGTTATGCAGCTATGTTGGGAGTGCCTAGGTTTTCAGCTGGAATTCTTGGAAGGTTTGCTGAAAAAAATTATTCTGACTAAAGTGGTTCTCTTTTATGAGACCAACAAGCTTGTTATGTATAAGCTTGTCTGTGCTCATGGCATGCACACATAGACAAATGAGATATATATGCTACAGAACATGGTATTATGCTACAAAGAGAAATTATATTTGGATGATATGTTTCATCCTTATGATTTTTTATGTACCCCTTTCCCCACCTCTTTGTGAAGGCTGTCAGTTTTAAGCAAACAAATTAGACCAACTACCACAACATTTATATATATATATTATTCCAAGAACCATGGATTTAGTTATGCTGCCCAAGCTATTAAAAAGGGGGGTGGGGTGGGGAAGGAGGTAACTTAAAGTGGAGGCCTGAAACTGAGGCTCCAATACTTTGGCCATCTCATGAGAAGAGAACACTCCCTGGAAAAGACCCTGATGTTGGGAAAGATGGAGGGCACAAGGAGAAGGGGATGACGGAGGATGGATAGTGTTCTCGAAGCTACCAGCATGAGTTTGACCAAACTGCAGGAGGCAGTGGAAGACAGGAGTGCCTGGCGTGCTCTGGTCCATGGGGTCACGAAGAGTCAGACACGACTAAACGACTAAACAACAACAACAAATGGGTTTCTAAAACAATGCTTCTCTCCCCCCCCATAACCATCTAAAGTATCACCAAACATGCAAGTCGTCATATGAAAGAATAAAAATAGATTTCATTACAAATTACCACTGAAATAGTGAGCTTCTATTGTGTGGCGTTCTAAGAATGAAACATTATGGTCGGGGTGACAAAAATGCTCAGTAGGGAGCAAGGAACCTGAGACGGGTGGGTCTAAAGCGAAAAGGTGGTGTGGGGAATGAGAACCTTCTTAGAACTCTGATAAGGTCTAGGAAATTTATCTGCAGCAAGAGGCATGTGGTTTTTACAGTAAAGGGGCAGTATTCATACACAGCACAAATTAAAACCCAGAGGCAGCTCTAAAGCAACAACTAACAATTAGACCAAGGAGGTTACAGCAAATATACTGGCCAGCTCTATTTAGAGCCATTACAAGTCTTTCATTTGAAAAGTAACAATTTTCAGCTTCTCTCTAAGTCAGAGATTCATCAGGAGTAACTCTGTTGCATAAAACTCAGTTTACATAAAAACGTTATGTTCTGGAGATAATGCTTGGGGGTAAGCGGTTCAAACGGAGACATTTAACAGGTTCTCTGCTTTTTCTAAGGCAGTTCCCAGGCAGTTCTCAAAAGACAGTCCAGTGACTCTTGAGAAACAGGCCAATGTCTGCATTGTTCACTTTCCCCAAACCACTGCTTTCCCATTACATACATCGGTGTGTAAGGCAGATGTGGGAAAACATTAATATCTGGGGTTTGAGAGACCCCAGGCTCCCGAGAGATATTCTGGAAAGATCAGTGGCTGGCCAGAATGTAAGAAGAGCCTTCCTTGATCAGAACAAAAGGCCAAATTTATCCAACATCCTGTTTCCCAGAAGCAAATATAGAGGCAATGTGACTAGTAGGCTCTGATAGTCCTATTGTCTATGAATTTGGTAAATCCTCTTTCAAAGCCATCTAAGTTGGTGGTCATGCCCACATCCCATGGAAGCAAATTCTACAGCTCAACTATCTGCTGTGTGAAAAATAACTCCCCTTTGTCCTCAATTTCCCACACTTCAGCTTTATCAGATGACTCCATGTTCCAGTATTATGAAGTGGGGGCGGGCGAGGGGAGGAACTTCTTTCTATCCATGTTCTCCACATGAATGCTTTGGTATCATTTGCAAACTTGCTCACCTCACTGTTTACCCCCAAATCCAGAGCATTTATAAGCAAGTTAAAAAGCGCTGGTTTCAATACTGACTCCTAGGGGACCCCACTTCTTACATTCCTCCGCTGTGAGAACCATCCATTTATTCCTACCCTTTGCTTCCAGTTCTTTGGCTGATCGATAAGCAGCCCGGACACTGTACAGTAAACAGCTTTTTCAAAGTTGAAGTACACCATGTCTACTGGATCACCCTTATCCACATGCTTGTTGACTCTAAAAGACAGGATTTACCTTTGCAGTAGCAATGTTGATTCTTCCTGAGGGCGATTTGTCCTTCTATATGCGTGTTCATTTAATCTTTAATAATGGTTTTAACTATTTTATCGGGAACAGATGGTAAGTAAAATGACTTGTAATTTTTTTGCATTCAACCTGTATAGTGGTACCTTGGGTTAAGGATTTAATTCGTTCCAGAGGTCTGTTCTTAGCCTGAAACTGTTCTTAACCTGAAGCACCACTTTAGCTAATGGGGCCTCCCGCTGCTGCCGCCCCCCGATTTCTGTTCTCATCCTGAAGCAAAGTTCTTAACCCGAGGTACTATTTCTCGGTTAGCGGAGTCTAAAACCTGAAGTGTATGTAACCTGAAGCGTATGTAACCCGAGGTACCACTGTATTCCTTTTACAGAACTGATGTTAAACTGGCCATTTTCTTATCCTCAGGCACAGAGGCCCATCTTAGGGGCAAGGTACATGTCAGAAGATCGGCAATCTCACATTTGAGTTCTTTACAAAGTCTTAGATAAGATGTCATCTGGACTTAGTGATTTGCTGGTTTTTAATTATCAATGAGGCCTATCTCTTGTCAACATTATTTGCTTCAGCTCTTCAGACTCCCTTCCTAAAAATGTCGGCCCAGGCATGTGCATTTGCCCTCCAACATCTGCAGAGAAGGTCAATGTGTCCACTGCATGCACAGGCCTCAATAAGCGTCAGCATTATTTTAATTTTCATCCCCCAAATTGGGACACCAGTAGGGTTGTGTCAGAGCCCCTTCTGGCTTGTCAACAGGGTCATGCTAGAACTCCTTCTGGTCCAGGACTCTGTTTCAACCCTGCTGAAAATGGAACAGCATGCCTCTGAATACCAATTGCTGGAGAACAACAGTGGGAGAGGTCTATTGCTCTCATGTTCTGCTTGTGGACTTCTCATAGGCAACTTGTTGGCCACTGTGGGAAATGGGATGATGAATGAGATTGGCCTTTGGTCTGATCCAGTAGGGCTCTTCTTATGTTTGTTCTTATTTCTTGGTGCATAATTTGATTTTTTTCAGCACAAAGGTACAGCCTAGCTATCATTTTCATCCGTTATGACTCTGCCTCACCTTCTCCTTTGCCTGATATAACCATTTCTAAACTCAATTAGATGAAAGAGTGTGGCCTCTTGACCTCCTCAGAGCTGTTCTTCAAGTGAACTCACACATGCACCTTGGATTCCTTTTTTTGTTGGGAAGCATGTGTCTGAAAATGAGCTTTGTGGAGATCAAAACCCTGCACACCCACATCAAGATGCCTTTCTAAACCCAGATTTTATACCTAGTCTCCAGCATTTTATTACTAAACTTTGGAACCAAAGGAGAGAAGATGCTTCAGAGACTATGTCAAAATTCAACACCACCTTATCAGGATTAAAAAAAACCAAAGCCAATAACTTGGAAAAGTATGGGCCTGTGCACCTGAGGAAATAGCATTATAACTAAGCCTCCAAACTAAGTTATACCACCCAATGTATCCTTGATCTGTACACTTGCTTGTGTTCTATGACCTGTGGTCAGGAAAATAATGTGACTTTTAATGTAATCTACAGCTATTAAAAAAAACCCCTGCAAGATGTTCAGCTCTTGCCCTGCACCACTGCTGTACACAGCTTGCAATTCTATATGATTTGTTAAAGCTCAGTAGCTGAAATCAAGAAACTAAGTTGTGAGACTAAAATTGAGGAGATTTTAGTCTTTCAGAAAGAATTTTTTTTGGGGGGGGGGCCTCAAAATATGTATCTATCACCTTACAAAGTACATTTTAATGTAATAACCTTTCATAGAACTGATCCAACATGCTTTCATTCATATCTCACAGAAACTACAGTACTTAAGAGTCATCAAAGAAAGCAGCATATAGTCTGCAACGACAGAAATTATTTATAAAAGCATACTCAACAAAAAACAATTAGAGTTATAGTTCAAAGGCCTATGAAAGCACATAACACATTATGGTACAGAAATGTGCTATTCTATACGGGAGATATTTTTAAGTATGTTAATTTAGCTCCACTAAACATTATTTAGTCTCTCTTGAAGACATAATCTTCAAATATATGGCAGCACATTGTTTGGAGAGATTTACAAAGGCATTTAAAATTCAGTGTGTGATCAGAACCTAACTTGTACACATCTAGTCACATTATTGGGGTTGAGAATATCTGCAAAGCATAATTCAGAAATGGTAATATTCTTTAATTTCCCTCTTCTCAAAAACAGATGTGTTGGTCCACTAGAAAAATCGAAACATCCCTCATGTGCAATACATTTATTAGGATTAACTACAAAGCACAAAAGTAAGCTTTCAGGTGTTAAGTTGTGGGTGAACATATCAGACGACACAGCGATTCTTCAAACAGCTCTTGTTTATTCACAGGCCAGAACAGAACTGAACTGAAGGGTTCAGCCAGCCTGCTTATATAGAGCTCCACTAGAACGCAACAGTAACCATTTTCTGTAACTATCCAATCACTGAACGTCACTTTTGATCCCTTATTTGCATATGTGGACCTGAACTATCTACACAGTATCCCCCTGCTGGCCCAGGTTGAGAACTTCAGTACATAACATCAGGTTTCACAGAACATTTCATCAAGCTTGAAGAGAGGAAGAGAAAAGTATGTCCTTACACATGGCAATGTAGCATGCACTATGCTACAGTCTCAAGCTACAAGTGGGGAGGGGTGGGTGGACTGATTTTTAAAACTATAGCTGCTCTTAGATTACCAAAAATATTTTGTCATATTTCATCATTTTTTCACATTCACTTTCTCTCTCTCTCTCTCTCTCTCTCTCTCTCTCTCTCACACACACACACACACAAACACTCGCAGAAAAGGCTTTAGCATTCATAATATATCAGATGAACAGTGCATCTTCTTTCTATATTATGCTACTTTTATTTGTAATTTACAGAAACCTCTCCAATGACAACTAAACTATAAATATAAACAGAGAAAAGAACAAACAAAAAGATAGGTTGGATTCCTCAAGCATCTCAAACTCAGATTTTCTTTTGTTCCTGTATAAGTCTTTAATCTGTCCTTCACACAAATGAAAATCATTCCAAATTCTTGGGGAAATAAGGCACATTAATCTTCCGACTTAACAAATCTTTTAAAAAGATTTATTGTAAGTATTACAATGAAGCTACTTTTAAATGAGAATTTAATATTGTATTTTGTACTTTGATTTTTCTGTAATTAAAAATATCATTAACTATAAATAATTGCAAGTAAAACAATTTTATCGCCATGCAGTTTAGCACTGTCTCTAGAAATATAAACAGCAATTACATGTAAACTTTTAGATATATTAATTATCCTCCAAGGAACTCAGGGTAGCATACAAAGATCTTCCATATGTTATCTTCACAACAACCTTGCGACGTGGATTAAGCAAAGTGCAATTGACTTGCACGATATCACCTAGTAAGCCTCATGGTCTTTCATTAAACTAGAGGAATAGAAAAAAATGCCTATTATGTGTAAAATATGATGGAGAATGTAGGGCTGTGATGGGAAAAAACAGCAAGCAAAAATAGCAATTTCAAACAATTGGGTGGACTAAATGTAATCCCTGGCTCCAGAAACAATACATTGGGGAAGATTATGATGATCCCAATAACAACGAAGATGGATTGTGATAGGAAAACAATACCAACAGTGTTTGGCAACAAACCTAACACCTCAGAATACTTGTGCTGTAAAAGTGGAGTATCATCAAGAATTGTCCATTTATGGGCATTTGTGCTTGCCGTGAAATACCAACATGGGATTTCTTGGGTGACCTAAACTTCACTTGTTTTCCTGGGGCACTTATGAGTGGTAGGTGTACTGACCGAATATGCCTGACAGCTGTAGTTCACACAGGCATTGTGGTCACATCACAGAAAAAATAGTAGCAAACATTCCCACTTGTTGGGATCCTTGTGTATCGGGTAATTTCCCCCCAATAACAGTTTTGACCAAGGGCCTGAAAACTATTTTTGTACATTTCTGAATCCATGTGGCTGTGGATGTATGTATGTACATGGAAAGCAGGTCCATTCCATTCTAGAAAGGGAAAGGCTTACAAGTATTGTCATGCAAAACAGATAAAAAGATGCATAGTTGTATTAGCTATAGTTTATCTAGTGTCTTGCATGTATAGCAAAGTGAGATGATGAAGCAGATGATGAACCTTTGAAGATCTCTATGCTGACCTAGCTAAAGTTAATCACAACTAAGTCTCAATGGCATAGTTCAGTGGTTTCAATGGTATTTACAATGCAATTCTATGCATGCTTACACAGAAGTAAGTCCCAATCAATTCATTGGGGCTTTATTCTCCAGAGAGAGTGCTTAGGATTAGAGCCTCACCCACAACTAAATTTTGTTGGATCTGGGTCCTAGAGCAGACATGAAATCATTCTTATTTAAAATAAAGCAGAAAGGAACTATGGGCAAAAGCTAACTGTGATTTGAATTTAGCATGTGAACTGACAACTAGAATTCTCATCTTGTCCAATGAGATTTCCTTCCTTCCTCATTACTGAATTTAGGATTAGAATCCAAGTGCAAATGTTCTTGTTTACATTAACGTGAACCAGTCATTTAACCTATAGAAACTGAAGCAATTTGGAGAAGGTTTGTGTATATATATTCAAAAGATTTCCTATATATTTCCTAATGTACTATTGAGTTTGTAAACATTGATTTGGTCTTTGCAGGCTATTCTGGTACATTAGAATGTTAGACTCTCCTCAAGTATAAAGATCTGCAAATAAGCAATTACAAGTTCTCAGACATGAGTTCATTGGACTACTATTACAGAATAGTTTTGCTGCAAGCACACACAACAACACTTTCTCCTCAATTCCTTGAATAAATGCTGCCTAACTTTCTGCAATAAATGGTGGTTTGTGAACTACACTGGAACTGCTTTTAATTTGGGGCAAGTGATATCTGATCTGATCTGAGAAAGAAAACGAAAACAACAACAACAATTGTATACTGCTCCTCATTCATAGATCTCACTTACGCTCACAACGTAAATTTAAGGAAACTGCTTTATTTCTGGACTTGCATACTTGGTAGTTCACCATTCCAGTGAGAATCCTTTATTTCTGGACTAATTCACGGCACAAAACACTTTACAGATTTATTGTAAAATTTGTATACACTAAACTACACTGTCTGGATCGGCAAGGTTATAAATTTGCAACTGTTGGACCCAGCCTTTGCATGTGCACACACACAAGAAAATATCAAACAGTCCAGTTCGAATGACAGAATGCTCAGTCCATGTGCCACAGCCAGTCACTCTGCTCTGGTGAGGAAACATTTCAGCCACATTGCTCTTTGTGGTCTGCATAGATACCAACCGTTATCTTGGAACAGTTGTCCCTTTCAAATATATTGCACATGAGGGAGGCAGCCATTTTTATGACAGCACAGATTCCAATCTATTTAATCCTTCCAATGAAAATTAATCGTCTCGTCCTTTGAAAAAAATAAAAGGAAATATTGCCCACTGACATGCTGCTGTTACTCATTATTCCTTTAAATGTTTTTCACCATTTGAGACTATTTCCTCCCATCTCTCTCTAGCTGTATATCTTCATCTGTTTCAGAAATAATCAATCTGGCACGTTCTTTATATTTATTCACCGTTTGGTAGCATCTGTGTGTACAGACCAACACATCCCTAATAAAATTGCCCTGGCCTTTGAGAAAGCCCACAGAGGGTTAAAATACATATAAATTCATAGGTTCGTAGCAGATTATCCAAGAACACAGGCAGAGGAAGGAACAGGTAGCGAAGGGCTTCCACTCCCCCATCCCTCCAAAAAAGAAGGAATGAAATAAAGTTTCATTAGACTTGTTTGAACTGGTCCAGTGAGTGCCATATGTTACATATGTCCCTGTTTACCAGGGGCATTCCCATATTTTCTGGTACCCATCCAGAAAACAACAAATGTTGTTTACGTGAGTTGCTGCAGTTGCCATTGTTCTGGCTTCAGCTCCTTCCCCAGAACCTCCAGAATGTAAATCCCTGAGTTGCAAATGATGTGCAAATATATGTAAATGCATGCACGTGAACACTAAAGCACCTTGCCGTGCTCAACCTGTCGTTTCACACAATATAGGGGACAATAAAGGGACCCCTGACCATTGGTCCAGTTGTGACCAACTCTAGGGTTGCGGCGCTCATCTCGCTTTATTGGCTGAGGGAGCCGGCGTACAGCTTCCAAGTCATGTGGCCAGCATGACTAAGCCGCTTCTGGCAAACCAGAGCAGCACACGGAAACGCCGTTTACCTTCCCGCTGGAGCGGTACCTATTTATCTACTTTGACGTGCTTTCGAACTGCTAGGTTGGCAGGAGCTGGGAGCGAGCAACGGGAGCTCACCCCATGGCGGGGATTCAAACTGGTGACCTTCTGATCGGCAAATCCTGGGCTCTGTGGTTTAACCCACAACACCACCCGCGTCCCTTTTCACACAATATAGGCCTAGTTTAAAGCTAGGTTTTTGTTGTTGTTGCTGTTGTTGTTTTAAGTCTCATTATTTCAGAAAATCAAGATGAAGGAGCATTTGGGGGCTGTGCAGTGCAATCCTATGCTTGTTTACTCAAAGGCAAGTCCCACCATATTCAATGGGGCTCATTCGTATTGAAGATTGGAGCCTAAATGGGTGATTTGCAGCACAATCCTAGGCATGTTTACTTGGGAGAAAGTCAGATTATGTTTTGTGGGGCTCACTCCCAGGCAAGTGTGAACAACAACAGCAATTTTATTATTTGTATCTGACTGGTTTGCAGCCTTGATATGCTGTTCTTATAATGAAGCCAAAGAGTAAGAAAATGAATGTCAGGACTAGTAAGCAATCGCTTACCACTCACCAATGGCAAGAAAGGTCAAAGATTTTATTCCATGTTTTGTTTCTGCGGCTGCATAGGCTAGAATCGTTTAAATTGTATTCCATGGTTTTCTGAACTTATTACAAGGACATAAAACATATTTATATAGCTGACTTAATCTCTCTGTAATAAAAAAAGTAATCAACACAGAGACTCTGGTAATCAGCTGATGACCTTCTGCACATTAATTGCAAGAACATAACAATAATTGTGTATTTTAAGGCCATTAAGTGCCAACAAGAAATGACTGGACTCATATGAAACTAATATCATGCACAATGAAGCGCAGCTAGGCACATATGTGTGCATGTATGTGATGACGAGAAAGACAAGAGTTTAAGCTCAGCCAAAAGGAAACCGGGGAACTGCTGAACATTTCAGAACCACTTACTGGTCATTCATTCATTATAAGTTTATTGTGCTAGCCAAAGGCCATGACAATTGCATTATAATGTACAAAATTCAAACATAATAATAATATAACAAGTACGAATAATATAAAAGAAAGAAAAACCAGAAGTACTATCAGCTAACTCTAGTTCAGATTAAGCCTGAGCCTCCAAAACAATTCATAGCAATATTATCTAATACTCTTGTTCTAATCGGGGTTTTTTTGCAGCCACTTCTCTAAACTTTTAGAAACAAAATGCAAAAATACAGTTTCCTCAACTGAAAGGATCAAGTTAAGAAAAAAGAAAGAAAGAAGCTATAAACTTTGTAGTTTGAAAAAATATCAAAAAGGTGGGTCCCTTACAACCCTCCTGCACAAATTGCCAAAATAGCTGGGCCAAAGGGTGAAGGACAGCTCCAATATATACACAAGTCATGGCTCCTCCAGCAAGTCTGATACAGACTGCAGGCAGGGAACAAATCCATTCTGCCTATCATAATCTTGCCTTGACATGGAGTTCGACTAGACAAACATTGGGGTCCCTTCCACCTCTATGATTCCATCATCAGTGCAGCATCAATGTGTATGATGCTTTATAGCTGGGCTGGAGCACTTGTGTCCCTCCAGATGTTGCTGGGCTGCAACACCCATAATTCCAGACCATTGGTTATGCTGGATGGGGCTGATGAAAGTTGAAATCCAACAACCTTTGGATGGCCTCAGTTTCTCTACTCCTGCTTTACTGAGCAACAAAAGCAAAAGAAAGGGGTTCTCGCTTGGGGAGGGAGCCATGGGTCAGATGGAGAGGCTGGGCCCTCCCTCCTAAATTTGGCCACCATGCCTCTGGTCTAAAGCCTCTTTCCCTAACATGCTAATACTTGGGGTTGTTGCTTTTAACAGCGTGAGAGCATGCAAAAGTTGTATTCTACAGAGGTACAGTCTACTCCCTTATGAGCCAAGCACATCAGGAGTTTCCCCTTCATTCTGCTTCCTGCAGCGATCCAACCTAAGGGAAGACAACAGAGGAGGGGGTGCCCCTTTTGTTGAACATCAAGTGAAGTTAATTATTTTGGCAAGAAATGTTTTGGTTGGAAGGAAGGAAGGGGAATGAGGTATGAGAAGGGCATGCCAGGAAGGAAAGGGCTGCTGTAGTCAAGCTTTTGTTCTCAGAGTCTTCTTCATTTAAACCACTCTGGCAGGAGAGGCAGAATGGCACAGAAAAAGTTGAGAACAGTGTTGATTTAAACCTATTGGCACCTGGAAATATTGGCATTTTGAAGTTTATTTTGAAAATGAATCACGACAAAAGGACAATGGGATAACACAGTTTGATGCCACTACTTCAGAGGTGCGTGTTAACCAAACAGCAGCCCATTCCCTACAGAAGTGAATCTCAATAGCAAGTTTACCACATGCTGCAAAGCAATATGTTTATTGCCATTTATTACTCTTCAAGGACCAATTTATTCATTTTTACTGGCATTAAAACAGGGCTTTATGTTTTACAAGGAAACCACTCTGCTGTTTGAGGCCATCTTAACAGCTGAGTTGGCTCCAGCAGTTTCTATCCTGAATCCAGACACTGTAGCAAATATTTTCTAGCATCTTGCACGATGGAGGAAATGACCTTTAGTTGTTGTTTCTTTATACTAACTTGACTGACATTCATTTTAAGGGAGATGTAAACTTGATTAATGATTTTCTTCTAAGGGCCCTGATTCAGCAGCCGTGCTATAGTGCATGCCCTGCTACCTAATAGGTACACCAGTGCTTTTTTTCCTGGGGGGACGAAGGGGTACGCATACCCCTAAACATTTTGTAAATCTAAGTTTGGCCTCATTAAGGGGCAGTATTTCAATATGAGTAGGAAAATGAGAGTACCCCTAAACATTTTTTTTGAAAAAAAGCTCTGCATGACACTGTCATTCATATGCAGCAATCACCTGGGTGAGTAGAGGGGGAACTGGAAGAAAATCCAATCTCTTACCCATCTCCACAATGAGAGGAGACCTTAGCTATATATATAGCCCAGGTCATCAAAGACTAGAGGTGAACAAAAAGTAGTAAAGAGCAACAATGCTGCTGTAGCCTTGGTTATAAAACTGAGCACGCCAAGCAGTTTCTTGTGTGATCACAGGTGGAGTCATGGCATTGTTTTCACAAAAGTTTCAAAGGGCTCTGAAAAACACAGGAAGCTATTTTACACTAGGTCACATTATTTGTCCATCTAACCCAGTACTGTCTACTCTGGGTGGCAGTGGCTCTTCAACAGAGGCTTTACTCATAACTTCCTACCTCTTTTTAGCTGGAGCTGTCAGGGACTGAAATTGGGACCTTTCCATGAAAAGCACGCGCACACAATCTCTCTCTTTCTCAGGCTACAGTATTTCCTGCAACAGTGCCATTTACCGTCTAATTTACGCAGTACCAAGAGAATATGTAGTTAGGGGAACATGTGGTTACCAATTGTTGATTTGCTTGTATCTGAGCAGTTAGGCAAAATGGTAATTAAAAAAGAAGTAGTAGTACTGTGATGGATCAGACCAAAGTCCATCTAGTCTACTATTATGTCTCTGACGGTACTATAAAGAATAAGTGGTTCCATTCTCTGCTTTTCCTATTTCCCCATAGCCTTTTCTGTCCAGATGTTATAGCCTCTTCAGGATGTTACACTTTCACTAGGTACACAGCACCCATCACACTTGAGTACTGTATGGGCACAAACAAGGGCATGGGAGTAATAACAAGGAACGGTCCAGGAAACCTTCAAAGTCTGCTCACCACTCATCCAGGTTTTCTGCTAGTGATGACTTCCTCTGCTGATCAGGAATGTATATGGTATGTGACCAGTGTGGAATTGATGTAGTTCACATGGTTCAAGGTACGATGTGGGTTCCTGTACTATAACATGCTTGTACAGTAAACCCAAAGTATGAGAAATTCCTTAAAACTGGTAAGCCTTGCAAAAATATCTTAACTTCTTCAGCCAAGGTCAACAGGCCTTTCTTCTTTTTCTTCCTCACTCTCATGAAGGAGCAAAAGAGAAAGGTGTTGAAAGACGGTAATAAAAATATCCCTACATTCCAGATTTTTTGCACCGGTTTCAGGTTGAATCTTTGCATGGAAACCAAGGATAAGGGAATGCTACATCTCTTTTGCCTTATGCCCGGAAGTCCAGAAAACAGCTAAGTCAAAGCTTTTCAATGATTAAAGACTAGGGTTGCAAGAATTAATTGATTAAGCAGTGTGATTACAGTTTAATGGCTTGTTCACATATTCAGAGTGAAGCTCTGATTAATTGGAGCAGGCCATCTGGATTCTAAACACAAGCACTCCTGGATCCTGGTCAGTTTTTCCACTACCTTTCTCCCTTGTTTGCAATTGCCTCCCATCAATTCCTGCCACCTGAAGAATCTGCCAGACTGGGAGTAAATTTCCTGTATAGGTTTGATGCTCCACCTGAAAACTGAGCCACCCCGGTTCAATTCCTGCCCCTGCCACAGGGCCATGGTTCTCAGGACAAATGCTATGACACATTCACAGGAGCGGAGGGAGGCCAAAGTGGAGGGGAAGAAAGAAGTAGGGTGAAGAACTTCTAATGGATATGGGGAAGCACATGTGGGGACAGAGGATTTACATTTTTATTTTTAAACAGTCAGGGGCAGTAGAATGGCCAGAGCTACCTTCTTTTTAACCATTTTTGTTTTCCCTTTCTACTTTCCCAGGGAGGCAGTCATCCTTCTGTATCTTCTTCTTTGGCGATTGCTTGTAGCCGAGTAAGATTGTCTTCCATGAACACAGTCTTATCAGTGAGTCCATAAGTGATTGTGGAGGCCAATTCTGGAGCCACATATCCTTCCACAGTGGGGACATAGGTTTCTGGGTGGGAGCTGATCACGGTGAGGGTTTGCCAAACTAGTCCAACAAAGTTGATGTTGAAAAAACATTGCTTTGAAACTGGTGATCTTTGCTTCTTCCAGTACACTGGAATTAGTTCACCTGTCTTCCCAAGTGATGTGTAATTTTTTTTTGAGACACTGCTGATGGAATTTTTTGAGGAGTTGGCAATGGCATTTATAAGTGATCCATGCTTCACAAGTATACAGTAAGGTTGGTAAGACAATAGCTTTATAAACAAGCATTTTGGTTTCCCTGTGAATGTCCTCAAACACTTTGCACTTCAATTGGGACAAAGCTGCACTTGCAGAGCTCAGGCAATGCTGGATTTCAGCATCAGTGTCAGCCCTTGTGGAAAGATAACTGCCCAGGTAGGAGAAGTGATCAACACTTTCGAATGTTACCCCATTGAGTTGTATTTGTGGCACCGCAGAGGTGTTGTTTTGTGCTTGTTGGTGCAGCACTCTGGTTTTTTTGGATGTTGGGCGATAGGCCAAGCTTTTTGTAAGTTTCTGTGATGATATTTAGGATGGCATGGAGATCATCCTCTGAGTGTGCACACACTACATTGTCAACAGCATACTAAAGCTCTATGACGGAAGTTACAGTAATTTTACTCTTTGCTTTCAGCCCACTCAGATTAGAGAGCTTTCCATCTGTTCGATATCTGATTTCTACTCCAGTGGGGAGTTTCCCCTCAACAAAGTGTAGGATCATGGCAATGAAAATAATAGAGTTGGGGCGATAACACAACCCTGTTTAACACCTGATCCCACTGTGAATGGTTCACTTTGAGATCCATTGTTATCAGTGGTCATTTCACCCCTACAATGCATCTGAGGAAGGGCAAACTGTCAAATGGCACCTCCATTTTTTTATTTGTAAAATGGGACACCAACCCCCCTACAACCAACCTCTGCATAATACTATATTAACAGCAGTATTACACAATAGATAAATCACACATACACAGACCCCAGTATCAGTATTACTATAAATTATATTGCAGCGCTCATGAGGAACAACGTTTAACTGCATTACTTGGGGGCAGGGGGGTGGGAAAGAATGGTAGAAGCTGTTATCTTGGTGTTAATTACTGCTAATCAAATTCTGGTGCATCAGACCTTGGCTGGGGTAACAGGATTCTTGGAAGAAGGCTGCAGAAGGAATTTAGCTGATCCTATCTCACTTTACAGTTCTGAACTCAAGCCAGCTGGATGACTGTGACCGTATTCATCACCATGTCTCTTCAGTGGTTGATGGTAACATCACATTTTTATAATCAAAGCTGGACTGATTGACTGTATACTCTGCAATACAGGCGGTTTCAAAGGGGGTTCAGACATTAGTCCCCCTGAACATTAAAGTGAACTCCACCAATGCTGTCCTCTGAAACAACTGACAGTACTTCATTAGCTTAGCAAGCTCAATCGCATATCACAGAAAAGCTTGATCTACATTTGAAGTCCCAAAACAGATGTCATCCCACTGTTTTCTGAACACCACAGATCCATCTGAGACACAACATGGTAACATCTGCTTCCCCGCTGTGTACAGAGCTGAAGAAAAACACTTTGCTCTTCTGACCTAAATTTCAGTTATTTTAAACACAGCAGCTCGTGATAGATGTCAGCTTTCTGCTCTCTGTTTTAGGTATGTTATTCCTTGTCCAGTGAACCCAGAAGCATTGTCTTCTCGTTCAGTCAGCAGACTTTAAGAAAGAGAGATTGTGCTGGTGTCATTCTTTAAAACAAACTGCTGCGCGCACACTAAACCATGCCCGTAAGCCTACAATGGGAGCTGGCAGCTTTAATGAGAGGAGAAGGGGCTGTGTGGGGAAAGAAAACCTCCAGGTGCTCAAGCTGTTACAGGTGAATAGAAGCCCTTGCTTCCCTGAGGCAGCTCTCTGTCAGGTTTAATCTCCCCAGGTTCTGGAATGTGCTTTTGATAGACATCTCGCCCCCATGTTTAGTTAAACACTGAGAGGGAAGCTGCTGCTCACTGCATGAGAAGGAATTGCCTCTTTGCCAAGGCTTCATTCCTGTTGAAAGCGGTAGGATCAACATAAATCACTTCCTGTTGTTTGTGTTTTTCTGAAGGTAGATATCCCCACTTTCTCCACACCATAAAGACAGCAGGACTGCTCAAGGCTTCCTATCGCCTAGCTTCCAAGAGGAATAAAGGGTCTTATTTCCCTTTGTTCTGAGCCTTGTTTACTTCTCCCACATAAGGCCTCAGACTTACCAGTTTGTGGGATGACACACTGTGCTTGTCAAGTTCAAAAACAGCCAAACAGCCACAACACAAGAAAGCGGGATGAATTTACAGAACCAATTCTGGAGGCACTTTCAGTCACTGAATCAACCCATGCACACTTTGGTTAATAGGACTTCCATGGGAGTTTCAGACAATGAGCCACTTCTCACGGAACATTTTTCTGACATAAAGCTCTCTGGAGTGCACCTGACCCTGCGCCTCTTGGGAAGTACTGTACAAGTGCGCATTTTGACACAAATACACAGTTTGCGCAACTGCAGAATAAACATTCCACAAGTCACCATGCACACATTTCCCCCCTCTACACAGGGCTCATAATCTTCTAGTACAATAGCTTAAATAGAATTACTTGCGAGTATCAGATGGGCCTAGGATTTAAATATGTGATGCTGTAGAATACTATATTAAAAGCTAAAACGAAAAGAAAGAAAGATGTTAATGGACTAAGTAAATTATATGTGAAAATAGTTTTGGAAAACTGCTACAATGATATATATGGAAACTCAGCCAGGGGGGTTTAAGGAAGTCACCCAGCAATGTCAACAAAAATGGAATTATTACAGTTAGGATGTATGTATGTTTGTTTGTTTTTTGATATTTTCTTTTTATGTTTGTTGATATGTTTGTTATAAATTTGGAAAATTAATATTTTTTTTTGAAATAAACCATAATCTTCTAGTAGACGCATTTGATGCAGCCCTAAAAGAGGGTATGACCAATTTAAGGGGTTGGTTGTGCTACTTTAGAGCTTCGGTTATGTGGTTCTTTGACCCACATTAACCCCCTACTGGAAGTGAGAGCTGGACCATAAAGAAGGCTGATCGCCGAAGAATTGATGCTTTTGAATTATGGCGCTGGAGGAGACTCTTGAGAGTCCCATGGACTGCAAGAAGATCAAACCTACCCATTCTGAAGGAAATCAGCCCTGAGTGCTCACTGGAAGGACAGATCGTGAAGCTGAGGCTCCAATACTTTGGCCACCTCATGAGAAGACTCCCTGGAAAAGACCCTGCTGTTGAGAAAGATTGAGGGCACAAGGAGAAGGGGACGACAGAGGACGAAATGGTTGGATAGTGTTCTCAAAGCTAGCAGTATGAGTTTGACCAAACTGGGGGAGGCAGTGGAAGACAGGAGTGCCTGGCGTGATCTGGTCCATGGGGTCACGAAGAGTCGGACACGACTAAACGACTAAACAACAACAACAACCCCCTACTAATCCCCAAGGATAATGGGGGGCTGACATGGGCTATGCACAATGTGCTTGGATTGGCAAAACTTTCTACAAAGGCTATGAGGATATTTCAGAGAGCAAGTCGCTGCATTTGCTCTGTTCCCAATTGTGCTTTGCAGTGTATGGCCAGGATCATAGGAAGCTGCTGCCTACATGTGTTGTAACAGCTCCAGTTGCTGTTGTGCCAATGAGGCGGCTGCACTGTAAAACAAAGTAGAATCTGCCTCATCTATAGCAGAACTAGAAAGTTTACTGCCAGTTAATTTTCTAGTTGGGACAAGTACTGTATGTGAAATTCAGCTTTTACTTCTTACTTAATGGCCCTGTTGGCCGCTAGAAAGTACAGTGAACAGAATTCTGCTTAAATGCACCTGTTAAAGCAGGGATGGGGAATGGAAACTGGCCGGTAGGTTGGATCCTTATCTCTTTTTTTTTTTAAAATGATATTTATTGAAAATTTTAAAATTACAAAAGAGAACAAAAAAGAAAAAAAGAAAGAAAAAACAAAGAAAAGACAAACCACAGTCAAACAATACAGATTAATAAAAATCAAAATCAAAAAATAACACGACACAATTAAAAAACAAAAATATACCACAAATATTTAAAAACAAATCCAATATTCTCATATCTTTAACTGTCATTACCTTCTTTCTTTGACCTCCTCCTCCTCCCTTTTTTTGTATCCTGATTATTAATTGTCACAGCAAATCCTTTCCATATTTCATAATATTCTGTCATTACTTTACCTTAATCTATTTTAATCTTATCTTACTATGAAAACCTTAAAACTTAAAACTTAAATCTTATTTTTACCAATTTCTCATAACCATAATATTCTTACATAATTCTTTAAACATTTTTGCTAAAGCCAAATAATTTCGTTCCAACATTTTTCTAACATTCATCAATTTTATAAAACAATCATAATAAAAGAAATAACAATCCAATCTTCATCTAGCGTCTCTTCCTCCTGGACCCGGGTTTTGTCAGTCCTTTCTATCCCATCAATCTAGCGCATTAACCTGGTAACCTTATGTCCGAGGCCCTTAAGTCTCTTCCATGTCCCTTCCGCAGCTCTTCTTCATATTTATAGCTATATTTTCCTTTATCTCCTACTTCTTTCACTCTTGGGAACTCCAGCTTGACAATGCTTTTGACCCTTCTCGACAAATCAGCCCCTTTTCCATAGTCCCCACTAAGCTCCATGTGGTATTTAAGAACATGTTTCAAAGACCCTCCAAAATTGAGAGCCCCCACAACCCCAAACATCTCACGGCCCATTGCCAGACTCGAAAAGTCCAAACCTCCCTGCATAGGGGGGTCTATCCAACCCCCCATTTCCAAACCAAACCAAACTTTATCTTTCCAAATCTGGCTTTTTCCAAGTTCATTTGTCAAATCCAAGAATTCATGTTCCTGCTGGGCCGCAGCTCCCTCCATCTCTGGCACCCAAAATTCAGCAACATCCTCTTCCCTCATCTGTTCTGTCAGGGCACACTCCTGGCCTAATTCCTGGTTGGGCTCTGTATAATATCCCACTGCCTGTCCAAAATTTCTAATCGCATCAGTCATAAAATCCGTCTTCTCATGTAGCTGTTCCAGTAGGGCACTTGTTTTACAGAAAGCACTCAACAGAGCTTCTGAATACATTGTCCTGCAAGGTCAGAAGTCTATTCCCACGATCGTAATCTGTGACAGCTGCGAGCTTCCCGATTCAAAATTGGTTACAGTTTCACAGGCTCCCTCTAGGGGAAAACTTCTGCTTGTTCTTTTCTTTTAAAAACAAATCTAACAACAAAGTTTCCTTTTTCAGATATTTTGTCAATATTTGTTCCTTTAAAATGTGAAGGAGAACAATGGAATCACTATGTATCTCTTCCTTTAGCTATCTGTCAAAAACGTTTGTCTCTTCAAAGAACGTCAGTCCTGACACCCCGCTCCAGGATCAAGACGGTGGAAAGTTACTTTACTTTACACTCACTTCTGCAGGTTTAAACAGTCCAGAAAAAATCCCCCCTCTTCTCCTGCTTCCGAAGGGGGTTCCACAATTTTAAATGATGAAAGTTAATCCTTTAGAAGCGATTTTCAGAACTTTAGTTTGCTGTGTCTTTGCTTTAATCTATCTACAAAGAAACGGAAGGCTGACTTCCTGTTTAGACCTTCCCGTTTCAGTGCCAAATTAAATTAAACTTTTAAGTCCAGTTTTCCTTTCTGCTCGCAAATCCTTGTTTAGAGTCCAATTGTCCGAAACTTAAGTACTCACGGGTGGTTGTTTTAAAAGCCAAATTGTCCCAGGAAAAAGGCAGCGCTCTCCGGCAACGGCTGTGCGGCTTCGCTCCACGGAAGAAGCAGTTGACTCTCAGCACCGCGCCACTCCCCCTCTTCACTCCGGAGCCCGTTAGTGGGTTCCTTTGCGGGTTGGGGGGGCGCTAAAGGTGCCCGCCGAGTCCCATGGTCACAGGCTTCATCCGCCTGTGATTTTTGAATGGGTCCCCGCTTCGCCGTAGCGGAAAACACCCGATTCCCGTGGAGCTGGTCCCTCCAGTTCAGAGGGAATCCGCCATTGTTGATGGCGCCACCCCGGAAGTCGGTTGGATCCTTATCTCTATGCACACCAGTGGAGAAAGTATGACAGGTGGGAAGCCCTGCCCACCAGTCAATCGCTTGATGTTGTGATGACATCAGGTGACCCAGATATTTTGGACCAGAACTCCCAACAGTCCCAGCCAAGGATGAGAGTCATAGGTCAAAACTTCTGGACTGTATAAAGTTGGGTAAGGCTAGTCTAGACTGTATATTTATTACACACCCATCAAATACATTATCAGGTTGGGTACTACAAAATATAATGAATACATTCAAATGAGCCAAAAACAGCAGTTCTATAGCTGCTCTGTTTTCCTTGAATTGTTAAGTTTAAACATCAGGGAAAATTTAATCAAATACTGTAATTATCTAACAACCCTTGTTCCGGCCCTCTGATTCTCTTCTGCCTTCCTACTACTGGGGTGTAGACCCTCTGCCTCCAAGATCCCATGCCTCAGATCAACTTTCCCCTTGGCTTCTTCTTTCTTTGACTTAACCTCTCCATTCCTTAGATCCCTGTTACAGCTTACAGTGTTTGTCCCACTTATTCCTTGGCTGAGCTCTGGAATAAAGGTAGTTAACCTGTGGTTCTCCCATTAGCCCCAGTCAGCATGAGCAACATCTGGAGGGTCACAGGTTCTGCCCCACTTCCAAATTTCCAGCTTCCTTCTCCCACAACACACAGTTCTGGCTGGCCTTAAGATTTCTTCTGTATCTTTCTTGCTTTGTCTCCCTATCCTCTCTATAAACATTAGCAGAATTGTTCCACTAGCAGCTGCAATATGCACACCATCTTGCCCAAACAGTGTCAAAGGATTTGCGTTCACAAGCACAAAAAGCAACATAGATGTTGTACCTATGATATGAAAGGGCAGTGACTTTGGACAATACATGAAAGTATAGTGCATGGCACAATGTGATTTTCCTACTCATGTGCTCATTTAAAAGCAAAGAGTACTGAGTACGTAGCAGTCATAAGTAATAGGCCATTGGTGGCCAGTTTTAGCAAGTTCTATGAAGCTTGGCCCAAACCAATCTAATCTGTTCCAACAGATAACATTTAATGCACTTATCTTCTGCTTTAAATAGAAATATGTGGGGGGGAAAGAACCATTCTCCTATCTTCCAGTCCACTGAAATGTCAGCTCAACAGTCATTTATTTTTGTACTGATCATTTCATTCCTAAATCCTTCATGCCTACACTACTGGAATTACACTGCATCCCTCCATAAAAGGGCTACAGCAAAGAATGTAGCGTGTCCAAAATGGTATGCTAATGTAAATGAATTCCTTTTACAAAGAAGCATTTGTATGGACTTGAAATCTGATGCAAGAGCGGCGGAAAACACTGTTAATTTATTAATAGTCAGATGGTTAGTCTTCAGTTCGTGACAACTTCCAGCATAATCTCCCTTTTAATGTCTGGAAGTAGTGATTCAGTTTTAAGAGAATATGGAACTGTCCACATGAAATGCCATAGTCATGATTTCAGATGTTCTCCCCTCCCCTCCCTTTGTTTATTAACACATTCATTCGGAACTTTAAAGCTAATAAGGCTTTTAGATGACACCAAATGACTTTGCAGACAGTGTGCTAAAAATACAGAACCACATTTATTCGCAACGAAATAGCTCACAAATAAACTAAACTGTTAGTCTATAAACTATCCGGGCTTTTAAACAAAACAGGATTATTATTTTTTAAACTGCACGCTAACATTTCCTTTAAAGGACCAAATAATTTTGAAAATGAAAATGTCCCGACTCTCGGATAAAGGTCATCTGTCATATGGTCTTTGTAACTAAACTGCACCCAAGTATTTGAGAAGAAAGAAACAGTACATTATTACGACTGGAGAGAAATGGGGCGAGGGAGGAGATACTGAAGCTCAACAACTGAGCTTTGATTAATGTCATAACGGCAGCCTTGTTATGTTCAACGTGGATCCCCTTGTTGTCACTTCCTGTTGACAAACTCCTTTTGCATTCATTGCTTTTAACCAACTACGTTGCCATGGCATGTACGACAGCTCCTTGGTGTATAAGTCTTAGGGCTACTGCTGGAATAACCACAGCGGGAAGAGCAATCCTAAACCCTGGCTGGAAGCAACAGTGCAGTCGATCAACTTCAGCACCTGAAACCCTGTTTACTTATGTCAGCCAAGGCAGAAGGGTGGGGGCGCAGCCTGTGTGTAATTTTTTGCTATCCTAACTCAATGGTACAGTTCATCAGCTCCCTCCCAACCCCCCCGCTGGAAAATGGATCAACTTAGGATTCTACAGAGGCCAACAGTGCCTAGTGTTACGTCCATGCCTTATAGAGCAGGGGGTTAAGATTTTAGCCTTAGTCCTGTGGGTTATGTTCAAAGTGCCTTAAATAGCACTTTGAGAAGGAACTATCTGTTGACATTAGTGCGTAGCTTCTGTGTTGATCTCAATTTTTTTACACTTCTGTGCATATGTCATATTGTTAACTTGCTCCATTAACATTTTGGAGCAAAGCCAAACTATTATGAAGTTTTATTGATGAACACGTTGCAAATATTAAGCTGTTTCAAAAACATCTTATACACAGGTGCCTAGACAAAGGTCCATATAAGACAACCCACAGTTAGGGTTACAATTCTGTGCACTCTTTTAAGGAAGCACAGTTACTTCCAAGTAACTGCAGGCAAAATTAAGAATTCTGTGGCTACTGAACTGCAGATGGCACAGCTGAAGTAGTAAAGTCTGGCTAACAACCAGCAGAGGGCATACCCTATCACTTTTTGATAAGTTATGGAATCACTCAGAGAGAAAAAAGTGGTGCTTTGCCACTTTTGGGGGGTCCAGAATACTTATGGTGACTCTGTAGGGGGAACTGAGTTCAGCTGCCTGTCTACTCCATCCCAACCTGTCACACTTTTCCAATAGTCAAGACTGCCAGACTGCGCAGCTGCTGAAGATGAGTATTCCAGGATCTGGGAGGGAATATCTACCATCCTGGGCAGAAATACCATCACCACAACAGCTGGGATCCCCTCTCTACAGCACTGCCTCGTAGGAAGCCTCCTTATACTGACTCAGGCCATTGGTCCCTCTAGCTTATTTCTGAACCTAGACTTTCAGCAAAAGTAGATGATCTACCACTGAGCTACAGTCTTTTTATTCTTTCACCTCTTTAATGAACAGACATTTAGCAGATGACTGCCTGAAAAAGCATTGTTCTTTGAATGGCTTTTTGATGTGCTTATTTGAAGTTTAAAAGCATACACCCAGTTTTTTATATTTACAGTGGCATCCCCCCCCCCCCCAGTTGGCTCCTTTTATCCTCCAAACCATTTGATTTCCTTAGATTGAGAGCCCCTTGGGGACAAAACTAATAACATTTAGAAAAACTGCTGTAAGCTGCTCGGAGCCAATAGGAAAGAGCAGGATGTAAATCAATCAAACCGAGTACTAAAAGCACTGGGAATTCCCAGTATCACTATTGCAGATAAGTTAAATATTTCAGATTGCCAGTAGAAGGTATGATTAAGACAGAACTGTGGCTAGGCAAAGAAGAAAATCAATCTAATTGGATAGCTGGAGGGTACTGAACTCTCAGTGAGGCTCTGCTCTGGCCATACCACTTGAGCAACATTTAGGATTTTAGACCAACCACAATGAGAAATGGCTAGTTCAAAAACAGGTATATCTGTAGGATTCTATCCAATCTACAATCCCACTGGCAGCCCTGCATACTCCTGGAGATGACTGTTTGGGAGCTAAAAAAGATAAAGGTAAATGACCCCTGGACGGTTAAGTCCAGTCAAAGGCGACTGTGAGGTTGCAGCGCTCATCTCGCTTTCAGGCCAAGGGAGCCAGCATTTGTCCACAGACAGCTTTTCGTCATGTGGCCAGCATGAATAAATTGCTTCTAGCGCAACGGAACACCGTGACGGAAACAAGAGTGCAAGGAAACGTTGTTTACCTTCCTGCCACAGCAGTACCTATTTATCTACTTGCACTAGCGTGCTTTTGAACTGCTAGGTTGGCAGGAGCTGGAACAGAGCAATGGGAGCTCACTCCTTCACGGGGATCTGAACCACCAACCTTCGGATCAGCAAGTCCAAGAGGCTCAGTGGTTGAGACCGCAGCGCCACCTGTGTCCCTGCTTGGGAGGTACCAGATATATGAAAGGCCTTTAACCCTTGACTTCTTTTTTATTTATTGCCCAAGAAGCCCCAAAACTGATGCTGGCTCCTACAGTATATATTAATGCTGGTGGCAATGAACCCTTTGAAACATTTTGTGGGATTGTGTCTCTAATGCTATCAATGATGCCATGATCCACGTAGCAAGAAAAGGGTGGTAATGGAGATGTGGAACCAACTAATGGCTTCTTGGCCAATATGGCACCTTCTATATCGGAATCACTAAACATGATCCAGTAAGTTGTTTTAAAGATGCCGCTGTGGCAAGAACCAGCTGAGCATTTTGTCCGACTATCCTTACATAAGGCTTGTTTATACAAGCAACTGTTCTGGGATGACAATGGCCTGATCCAATTTCGCCTTCCAGTTTGTTTATACATTTAAGAGGTGAATCAAAGGCCGTGTGTGTGTGTGTGTGTGTGTATTGAGAATGAACAAATAAGTCCTTCGAAGATGAGAGGCTCTTAATTCACCATTTTTAATCACAGCAATGTAAATGTAACTTCAACAACAAGATAAAACACAGTTGTAGCGACATCAGAGCAAGCCACTCTGTCTGTCTCCCATGTATATAAATAGAATGGTAGTTATTTTTTCCAATTAAGAAGATACTTGCAAAGAATTTCTTTTGACACTGATTTTACTAAAGCCACATGAGCACACAGCAACTCGTTTTCTTGCTAGTTTTCTTCCTTGGTTCATTTACCAGAGAACTAATAGGAGTATCAGTGAAAGAGACAAACTATGTGTATTTTTAAAGAAAGCAAATTCATGTTGTCATGCTGTATTTTCTCATTGTGTGCCCTGTCAGTTGATTTAGCAAAGTCAAATGTTGTTAAATAATATCACAATTTGGTGTTAAATTGCTTTAGGTTCTTAATTATTGCTTTAAAATTTAACCAAGAACGATGGTTCAGACAGATTGTTCCCCCTTTGCTCCTCTTCTGAAGTAAGTAGGATAAACAGTCAGGAAGCCCTGGTTCTGCTTTATGTCCAAACAAAGGATTGTGGTTTGTTGCTGCCCAACAAACTAACCTGAAACCATGGTTTGTTGGTTTGCTGACCATGGCTTGGTAGGAAGCAATAAATTGCAGGCCCTGGTTCAGGTGTGATGCAAAACCAGGGCTTCTTGGTTTGTTTATGCCTATCACTCCAGGAGAGGTATGCATGGGCAATGCCAAACTAGTCTGGCTTTTTGTTATGCATGAACACAGCCCAGATGACATGTTTGAATGTAGTGTTTAACATAAGACAGTGGGGAATTCTACAGGTTATACACATATTTGTCTTGACACCCCAGATTTCTGTTCCACAGTTTACCTAACAGTATCATCTTTTTCCTATCTGAAATATTTAGCAAACTGAAAAAGCAGAAGTACAACTTTAAACAAGTTAGTCCTAGAAAAATCAGACCATGAGTAACTTCAAAATAATCTTACTTAAATCAAATACCAAACACTAATTGCGGCACTACTTAAGGAAACTGAAAAAGATGTGATGGGAGAAGGGAACATCTTTACAAGCCTAAAGCATCCACTGAGGTTATAGCTGCCACAGAGAAGCAGTGATTTATATGTTATAGTTTGATAATGTGTTTGTTTAATTGAACACATACATTGCTTCAGGACCAAGATAAAATGCGTCCTAGAGAAATAAAAATAATATTCCTAAACTGCTGGCAAAAACACAGATAAGGAAAACATGCAACTCCAGTCAGTAGTTTTAAGATAGAAGCAAGTATTTCATTGGGGGGTGGGGAAGTTAATTATCTAACAATGTACAACCCTATCAGGCGATCTCTGTTGGCTTGTCGTTTATTATATAGTAAATTCTGCTTTTAATTACATTAAAGACAAGAGATAGGCTCTGTTTGAGGGCTGTACATTATAAATACAGGAAAAAGTCAGTTCAAGCAAATATATTGAATTAACTAGTGATTTCAGTGACTGAAGACCGTTTTTCAACAAAAGATACACTTTCCAGTACTCTTTTGACTCTTTTTACCTGTGAAATAACAACAACAGCAGATAACAGAAAACCATGGTTTAGCACTATGTGGAGGAGCCTGTACAATCCCCAAACCAGGTTTGCAAAGCTCCTGCCTCCCACTGTGTGGATGAGAGGAATTTGTCTGGATTCAATTTTACTTAAAAACAACAACTCAGTTTAGCATTATTTTCAAAGCAGGAATCCTGGTTTAAAACAAATTCTGATCGTTTCATAATAAGCTGGTTTCAAAACCATTGAACAAGCCAGAGTCAGGACATCCAATTTGAACACAGCACTAAGTGGGGATTCCTTGAAAGTGAAACTAAACTCTGGCAAAGTCCTCTGCCCAGCTGCAGGCAGGAGGAGAGGGGAAACAGGAGCAAGCAAGGGGTATAACACCACAAAGTGACGGCACCTTGTTTTCCAAACTGGACCAACCGGTAAACGTTTTGCATTACTTACCATCAAAGTTCTTGTACTGGGCTGTTAAGATTACTTGCACCGAGCGTGTGGCCTCCTTCAACATGCCTTCAAATTCATGCCGACTCTTGTTGGCAAAGTTCTCCTCCATCTCACTGGTGCAGCAAGTGTAGCCTTGTGGACAAATTCTCAAGTGTTCCCCTGAAAACAAGAGAGACAAATGTGGCTTGTTATAGTAGTTCATGTACAAGGCATTTCTAAGTGTGAGTGTGTGTGAGAGAGGGAGGAAGGGAGGGCATGGCACAGTTACCGTATTTTTTGCTCTATAAGACTCACTTTTTCCCTCCTAAAAAGCAAGGGGAAATGTGTGTGCGTCTTATGGAGCAAATGCAGGCTGCACAGCTATCCCAGAAGCCAGAACAGCAAGAGGGATTGCTGCTTTCGCTGCGCAGCGATCCCTCTTGCTGTTCTGGCTTCTGAGATTCAGAATATTTCCCCCCCTTGTTTTCCTCCTCCAAAAACTAGGTGCGTCTTGTGGTCTGGTGCGTCTTATAGAGCGAAAAATACGGTATTTAACCGTGGATGATTCCAGATGGGGACTTTGCAATAACTGAATGACCTATTTGCCATGCTAACGGGTTGTTGGCAACAGGGTTTTTCTTAGTTTACCAGATTTCCCCGGGAAAGGGTAAATCTGGATTAAATGGGGTGGGGAAGAGATACAGGCAGGCATTTTTATGCCAATGGAATTGTGCTGGTGCTGCAAAAATAAAAATAAAAATGGGTTCTTGAAGAGCACCCATCCCACAATAAGCACCTAATCTGGAAACATTCCAGATTTCAAGGATTGCTAACCAACTCCTTTCAGAGCAACCTTAAAGACATTCAGGAACCAGAGCTGTACATCTGCAAACACACCTCAGTTTCCTCCTCCTCTTCACTTGCTGATACTGTAGGAATTCACTCGGTTAAAATAAAGGCACCCAAAACATATCTTGTCTAACCATGCGCTAAAATAATCCAATTACAAAAGTCAACACACATCATGTAATTTGGCTGTGATGGCCACAATCCTGCGGGTGCTTTTATAGAACAGCTGGGAAAATCGTGCCTCATCTTGTCTGTTTTGAAACCCAGGCAGCCCTGCAAGTGGGGAGGCTGCCACTGGAATCTGCACACGCTCCTCCAAGTGCATACTTCTCACAACCAAGTGCCTTTAGGGCTCTTTTTCTTGGAAGTGATGAATCTGCCTTGGTCTGTAACTCACTGTGTAAACTGCGGAGCTGGAGAAAATATTGCCAGTGATATTTCAGATCGGCTGGATAGATAAGCATTCAATACTTGGCAGCTACAAGGTAATAGCTTACACCTGCCTTGAATCCCTTTTCTCTGATCCACAGCAGGAAGACCAGGCTGCAAGACTCACTGCTGCATATAGTCCCTTTTGAAAGCAGCAGGCAAGCATTGGAGAACCATAAGCTCTTGCTCTGTCCTCCTCTCCCCCCTTCCCTCCCCACAACACCAAACACAAAGCAGTAACGGTACATATTGTCCTCAGAGTCTAGATTCTCCCCTGCAATCAGAGGAAGGAGAAGCTATTTATGTAATTATAATGTACAAAACCCTTCAATGAATACTTGACAAATTCTACCCACCCTAGGTGACATCAGCAATCCAGTAAATTTAGCTACTAAACTACGCCAGGGGTTGGGGGCCCGTGGCCCTCCAAATGTTGTTGGACTCCAATTCTCATCATACCATACAACTCGCCATGCTGGCTGAGGCTGAAGGGAGTTCCAGTCTAACAACATATGGAAGGCTACACTGAAACAAGATATTTTTCTTGGGGAGTGGGGAATATGGATGGTGGTGATACAGGCTGAAGAGTACAGGAAGTGACCATTCATACCACGCCCCATTCCACCCTCTTCCAGGTCCAAAAGGACCTGCGCATCAGCTAGTTGCTACTATTAATTGGATTAGCAATCAATCTACAAACTAGTATTTCTAGACAGCCTGAATCACAGCATCAACTCTTTCAAAAAATTCAATACTTATTCTACTTATTCAAGGGTATCTGTGACATTTGGAATCGCAGCATTTCAACTCGAGAGGAAAACAAAGTTTTCATATTTTCTCTTTGCAATTCAAATTTATTGCACAATATAAGGAGGGAATTGTCTTCAAAGACATCTTTTAATTTTTGATCTGACCCCATAATGGTGGTGGTTCCCTGTCATTTCATAGCTGGCCGACGAAATATTAACTGCGCTCTTGGTTCTGCTTTCTCAGATCATTTGGCTTTATTTTGTCATTCCTCCTTTGCTGAAAAGGCACTCTAATAAGGAAACTGGGGTGGAGGGTGGGGAGGGGGTGTCTTCCTTCGCTGCTCAGAAGCATGCAATCGCCCAGACTAGTAGCGGCTTTCACACTGGGATTGTAGCCAGAGTCTCACAATGATTAACAGTCAATGATCCTTGGGGCAGGGCAACTATTTCCATCTCCAAGGCCACAGCTGACTAAGCAAAATAGCTATGCCAATTGCAATGAAATATTTTGAGAACAGTAAAATGAAAGGATTAAAGCAAAAGGATCAGAGGAACTGGAGGGGGAGCAAGCCTTTTAGCCATAGGGTTCTTCTGCCCACATAATGTAACATTTTGTTCATTTGGTTTGCATTTGGGGGGGCGTGAATTCAGATAGAAACGCATCACCTGCATTTCCCTGGAGAGCAAAGAAAATCCATCAGTAATAAAGCCACATTTTCTTCTCCAGAAGCAGATGATCTGACACATGGCATTCCAAAAGGAGCCATTAATTCAAGATGAGCTGGAACACAATTTTCTGCAAAAATCTAAGACATGTTGTAAAGGTAGCTTATAGAAAAACTCAGACACCCCCCAAGCTGCCTTACATTTGCCTAGTCCATCAAATTGAACAGGCACTCCTGCAAGGTAGGAAATCCCCCTGAGAGCAAACTGGGCAGCCACCCAAAGCTGTACCCTCTGTTTCAGCCAACTTCAGTTGGAGACTTGTAACACTCCCCCCCCCCCCAATGACAGGCCTTTAGAGAAATTTGACTCATTAAAGCACACAAAGGCTGAAGCAAGGCTGTACCAATTGCACCTGAGACTGTACTAAAGGTAAAGGGACCCCTGACCATTAGGTCCAGTCGCGGATGACTCTGGGGTTGCCCGCTCATCTTGCTTTATTGACCAAGGGAGCTGGCATACAGCTTCTGGGTCATGTGGCCAGCATGACTAAGCCACTTCTGGCGAACCAGAGCAGCGCACAGAAACGCCGTTTACCTTCCCACCGGAGCGGTACCTATTTATCTACTTACACTTTTGACGTGCTTTTGAACTGCTAGGTTGGCAGGAGCAGGGACAGAGCAACGGGAGCTCGCCCTGTCACAGGGATTCAAACCGCCAACCTTCTGATCGGTAAGTCCTAGGCTCTGTGGTTTAACCCACAGCGCCACCCGCATCCCCGAGACTGTACTAGTCACACCTAAAAAGAAGGGAGTAGTTAATGTATCTTGGGAAGGAAGGCTGATTTCAAATTCTAGCATTTTCCACAGCATCTTTTCAGCTGGAACTCAGTTGTGATACCTCTCAGGTGGGCTTCATTGCCATCATAAGAGAACAAGGGAGAACAACAGAGGTGAGTTCCGGCACCTCTTTTTCTAGAAAAACAGCACAGCATTTTCAAAGAGCATCTGAACTGCAGCAGCGGCTGTCCAGCTGCACTACTGCAGTTTTAGATGGGGGTGAGGAACCTGGGGCCCTCCAGATGATTTTGGGACTACAACTTCCATCATTCCCAATGACTGGGCATGCTGGCAGGGGGTTATGGAGGCCTGAGTCAAACAACCACTTGAGGGCCACAAGTTAGCCACTCCTAGTTTACATCAGGGTATCAAAGTGCAATGTTCGATTCACAGCAACTTAGTAGCTCCCCAGCGTTTTTGTGCTGTGTTTTTATGGATCATGTTCTGAGAGGTTGCTATGAATAGGAAACTTAATGGCAACCTAATTGGATACCAATGGGCAGACCTTTGGAGGAAGTGATTTGCTGTACAGGACCTGGGGGGAAATGGGCATGGATCATTGAATGCTTCTCAAAGTCTAGCTGATCATTGCTTTGGCTGCTTATAGCTGGACAAACCTCCGCACCCAAACCATCAGCACACCTAAAATCTGCATGCAGTGGTACCTCGGGTTAAGAACTTAATTCGTTCTGGAGGTCTGTTCTTAACCTGAAACTGTTCTTAACCTGAGGTACCACTTTAGCTAATGGGGCCTCCCGCTGCCGCTGCGCCACCAGAGCACGATTTCTATTCTCATCCTGAAGCAAAGTTCTTAACCTGAGGTACTATTTCTGGGTTAGCGGAGTCTGTAACCTGAAGCGTCTGTAACCCGAGGTACCACTGTACATGAAATTGGGGCCAGGGTTGGGTGGGAGAGAGCGGTAATCAGAAGAAAGCTTATTTCAATTCACAGATCAAGCTTGACATAAAATATTTTGATCTGCCCGACAAGGGTTTCTGGGGCTATTCTGCTCACTTCTTTCATTAGTCTAGAACTGAGAGATCATCCTCCTGCATGCTCTTAACTCCCATTAAACTTTAGTGATAGGCAACTGATGACACTGACAGAGGAAGAGAACTCTCAACCCCGGCATATCCTGCTCCTTGCATAGTCATCAAGGCATGTGTAACAAGTGAAGAGCAATGCAGGACAGCAACAGCGAGTATCCTAAAAGTGGACGCATGCTGAATGTGTTCATCATAGAACTGAGACAACAAGGTAAAGCGCTGCATCAAGTCTGGATAAAAATCAAACACACCTAAATTGTTTTTTACTAAATGTTCTCATCTTCCCTTGAACATACAAAAAGTCTGTCAACGTTAACACTGCCCGGCTTTGAAAATGCATGCAGGAAAAAAGGCTCAAAAGAGTCCTTACTCTGGCATGCGAGAGTTAATTGGGAAACTGGATTTATTTAAGGAGAACCATTACAGTGGATTTATCACTAGGACTACATCAGGAATTCTCAAGCTTTGACTAGCCTTCGTAGCCAGCCAAGTATATGCTCATTGGTGACCCTGCCCCTACTCTGAAGGAAAGAAGCAGAGCTCTGCTTGTGCTATCATGATGATTTTCGGAGACACTCCAACCCCCTCCAGGGCCCAATGTGAC